GTAAACTTTGCTGGTTTGACTCATGCTCCCTTGAGAGCTTTACTACTCTTTTACTTTAATGTCAAGATTCCCAGATTTCAGGTATCACCACCAGCTCCTCAGCCTGCAGTCAAACTCTTTCAATTTTCTAAGACTTGTCTCTCCTCTCTTTTATTCCTGAAATTCTTTTCCAGTTGCTAGTATCTACTACAGGATCCTAGTTTTCACCTCTTCCTCCTTCTCTCCCATTTTCCTCTGAATTGAGAACCTCCTTTCCTGCGCTGATTTTGGGGACTGAGCTGTGATAACCTGTGTGAAGGTGCTTTGCTTGCAGCTCTGCTACAGTTTGCACCAACTGCAGTGTCTGAACACAGATTGGATCTGTGCTTTCTTACGTATATTGTTAGTGCACAAAGCTGAGATTCCCCAATCCATTACTTCTTTCCTACGTGTCTGATTTTATGGAAAAAGTTGATAGAGATTAATGTGAAACTTTATTCTTTGCTAGCTTGATGGGCTAGACCAGAGGACAAGGAGGGTTTGAAGGACATCAGAATAAATGCTGTCTTGGACTTCAATTTCAGAAAAGCTTTAATTGTTCTTCCGTAAGAATATCAGGTAGAAATGCATCTCCTTAATTTTTTCCTGGGATTTGCTATAAATGAATTATTTTTCAAAGAGTTTTTATTACCTTCATGGACTGTCTTTTCTCAAGTTTTTATCATAGCTGCCTCTTCGTAGTAATGATTGTAAGGGTCTATGAAACACTTTATACAGAAAACACATAAAATAAATGTATTATTCAAACCCACTGACACTGACAACAAAGTAGTTTTACAGCACAATGTTACTGCTCTTGGAGCTGCGATGGCGGCTATCACATGCTTAGTCCAGTAATGCTTTTACTGGACCCCACCAATGTTGCATCACTGCTGTTTATACTTTAAAGTTCTTTAATATGCTTAAGCAATGTAGTCCCTACCAGTTCTTACGATTTTATATCTAAACATACAAAATAATCTTGGTTTGTTAACCTGGAAATTGGTTTGTGAATCCATTCATCAAGTGTGTGTCTGTGTTCTCTTTTCTGTTTGGTTTGGAGCTTTTTGTTTTACAGCCCACAGAAAGCACACCTGGCCTTGAAGTGGCTATAATAATGTTGTCACTGAAAATCGGGAATGAAACTCGTTAACACTGGGTGTATTAAAAAGCAGGCATTGTTTATTTAGCACCGGGTGCATGGGGGATCTCTCCACCTAGCATGCACACCGTATGTTGCATCAACCATCCCTTATATGGTTCTTCGATATATGTATGCATCACATTTCTTGGAATAATCATACATATTCATTACATTTCTCAGAACTAATTATAATATCTGCATAGTCTTTCATGCATGCGTTTTGAGTCCTTTAGGAGATTCTACAGGGGTCTTGGATGGTTTCTAGTGGTCTCTGGTGGTCTCTGCAGGAGGTGAACTTTTCCTTACGTGGTCACAGATTGGCTCATCCCTGCCCTTTGTTACAGTTCTGGTTGTCCTTGTCTGGTTTCTGCTATTTATTATCTATCTCACGATGTGGTCGTTAGCTTAGGGCTTGTATGCTTGACCTATGCTTGATTAATCCAGCTGTTTATCTCACAGCTATTTACAACAATGTGATTTCAATAGAAGGTGAGAAGTGGTCAGCAGAAAATTTGTCCTGTTCCCAAAGTTAGGTCTGAATGTAATAAAAATGGCGCAGTGAAATTAACCTTTCAGTATTGTTTGTAGGAGGGATCATTGCTCTGCTGAAAAATCTGTGTATCACAAAAAGTAGACATTTTTGATAGAAATATGAAGATTGGTGTGAATGGGAGGTCTGAGTGTGGAAGCACCAGAAGGAACAGCAGAAGAGAGGGAGAAATGGCCAATACTGATGGCACCTAGATTACAGCACATCTTTGTGCAGCTTCTTAGAGGACCAGGTAGGGAAAACAAAGGACAGCCTAAAACAAGGGGCAGCATGTTCCTGTACTCAGACTAAAGTGAAGAACCAAGCTATTAAGAGATGGTGGTGAGAATGTAAAGAACAGGGCTGGAGCCTTGAGGCATGCAGACAAAAGAGACAAAAAGCAGGGAGTCAATACTGATGACTCACAGAGGTGGGACAGGGTGGGAGACAAAGCATTTCTGAATCACTGTTGGCTCCCTGGGGTAGAAACGGCACATCAGCCTGTGGCTGCCAACCTAGCCAGCATCCCTTGTCCCCAGTCATTCCTGGCTGGAGCGCTTGAGTACCTGTGCCTGTGTAGCCATATGTTTGGGTTAATACCTAGACTGAGGTCTTCATTGCACTGGCCTGATTACCTTGTGTAAACAATGCACGCCTTACGACGACTGTGCCCTTGAAGAAGTGGAAGACTGATAAAAGGGGAACATCCTGCCCTGGAAGGCGTCGGAGGCTAGATGATTGCCAAAGAAACAAGAAGTCAGCAAAAAACTGCGGCAACTAGGGGAAAGGGAAAGGCGGCAGGGGGAGATCGCGACCACCGACTCAATTCAAGACTGGAAAGACTTGTCCCCCACGCCTGCAAGGAGCATGCGTGCTAATTTACATGGCAAGCGAGGCTAATTTGAACACAACTCACCAGCGAGCATGAACTTAGGCGGGTTTTTTGCTAATCCTGTAACAGTATAAATACGCTGTAGTTCTTTTGTGTGGGATGCTACCTTTGTGGAATTACCACCTGGCACCCATCTTTGCGCAAACACCAGATAAATAAATATCTCGGCTCTGTGTGTAAGATTGGCTTATTGTACACCGGGTACCGGACCCCGCTTGTGGGACAACACCTGAACGCAGGGCACGCTGCTGTGACAAAAGCACCCTTTGTGGGTGTAAGCGAGTGAGCGGGATCAGTTTTGTGTTACTCTGAACCCACCTTTTGCTCTTGTAAGCCCCTTTGCTGAGTTTGCTTTGTTGCTGCAGTGTCGCAATATCTTTTGTTACTGAAAAGTACAGATAAGCACGGTTGATACCAAAGCAAATGCAGCAGCAGGTGGAAATGCCAGGGGAGTGCTTTTTTTTTTTTTTTAAGAAAAAACATTTGTAAGTCAGATGGCAGTCGCTGTACATAACTTTTCTGTGACGTTGGTTCTTGTGATTGTATGTGGGATGTGAGGAATGCTGGTTTTGGCTGCTTGCTTAAGGAATGCGGGATGCTTTGACTGTGAGCTTGATGATACGTGTCCCGATATAGGTGATTTCCCCAGCACACGCTCCTAATGTGAGGAACCAGGAGTATCCCTGGTTCATCACAGAAAGTTGCTGAGTGCTGATGAGTTTATGGGGTCTGGTGGCTTTTGCTTTTATCTGAATAATGGAGAGCTTGCCCTGTTCTCCCTGGTCCTTGCTTGTATGTCTTTAAAAAGTTTTGTTTATTTTCTCAGGTCTCTGTTCCTAATTAGTACTTTTGCCTTCAGGTGTTTTGTAGTTAAATATGCCGCTACATATTGGTCTCTCTACACTTTCCACCCTCATATTCTACTTGAATATTTTCACAAGAAAAATAAAAGCTGAAGACAGATAGTCCCTGGACAAAGTTTTCTCCCATGCCACATGCCTCATTGCAACACAGTCGAGGCAAAATGCCACAGCTTGCTACTGTTTCTTAAGGTGGCTCTGCAATGCACAGAGATCCCAGCATGCCGAGGTGTAGCCACACAAGCTCTGATCCTTTGGTGTGTACACTGGGAACAGTGAAGATGGCAGAGCACACACATGGGTATGGATGTCCTTTGAGATCCTGCAGGCATCTCACTATGTAAATGTCATGATAGTGTTCCCTTGTGGTAGTGGCATATGTATGGATCATTCGCTATGTTAACTGATGGATTGAATGATGAATTTTATATTCATTTTTAATTAGATATTTTTTCCTCAGTGGCAGAACTCTTAGGAGTTTTAGGGCTGGACTGGTAAAATGTGGTTTGAAGAAACTCCTGCCCTGGGGGATAGTCTCAGTCTCCAGACTGCAGTATTTTGTGGTTTCTAGGACCATGGGTTTTGTGTGTTTAGCTTGGCATATTGCAGAACATTCCTGTGCAACTGGCTGCGCGCTGAATTGGAGCAGTCTGTAAGGATGATGTAAAATCTTAATAGGAGAAAGGTGAATCACGTTGAGTGTGCCCTGTGCCAGGTTTTCTGAGGATTTGCACTTGCTCCTGGGGAAGTGGACTGCGGGCAGTACCTGCTCAGTTGATAAAAGCAGATGTCATCACCTATTAGGAGGTGTGTGTGACTGAAGGAGTCCAGCCACCGAGTCAGGTGCAGAAGGTTGTTGACTGGCCTTGTCAGTAGAAGACAGTTTTCCACCTACCTGCTCTAAGTATAAACTTCTCTTTCTTTGCCCTTGTTGATACACTTGCTTATAGGAAGGAAAAAGGGGCTGTGAGGGTAAAACAAATGCAAGTCATTTGTTTGTTTCCATCTTGTATGGAAAATACTGGTGACAATGTGCTCCCAGTTCCAAGTCCTGAGCTTGGCAACTGGAGAAGCGTTTTCTTTCAACATACAGGGTGTCATGGAAAGAGGTCTTTCTTACCTTTGTATTTCTCACTTGCACTTTTGTTCAAGCTTATAAAAGTTTAGGTTCAGTACTCACCCCATGTAATCAGGGCAAAAGAGTGAGTTTAAGTGTTTTATTTTTCTTCCTTCCAGGATTTTTTTTTTCTCCTTAAACTAGTAGATTTTCCCTCTTCAATTTCATTAGAGTGGGAGCCGTACATCCTGCTGGGGCTGACTTCCCACACCAGGGCTTGCTGACAGCAGGCAGGGAGGTCCAGCAGGTCGCAGGAAGCTCTGGGTTGCTTAGGCAATGAGGGGGCTTTTCAAGTATTTTCTTGATCCGGCAATATTGCTACAGGATGCAAGTAAAAGCTGTCTTGTGTGACAGCACGTTATCAGGATACTTTTCCGCTTCATAAAGTCTAAAGCAGCCCCCATGAGCAAGCCCAGCACCATTGGGCATTTCTTTGACAGGCGATCTTTGGCCGTGCTGTTTGTTGTGCAGGATGGTGACTGCCAAGGTGTGGGTTCTGAAGAAGCATTTTGAGGGTTTCCCCAAAACCAGCGACTTTGACCTGAAAAAGATAGAGCTGCCAAACCTAAAGGATGGAGGTAAGTGCAGTGCCACCTGTTCTTATTTTTTCCGGAGGTTGTCTGGTTGCTGACAAATGGCTGTGCATCTGTAGAACTGCTTGTATGTTTCTCTGGCTTGGATTTTCAAAAATGGGTTGGCACGGCTTGTGGCAAGCCATGCACCTTAGCAGAGAAGGATGATTGCTCAAGAACATGTATGCTGATGGGTTTGGTGGGGTTTAAGTCATGCTGCCTTCTGATAATACCCTTAGAAACAGTGACTGAGCTTTTCTAACTCTAGCACGCAGTGGCTGTGGCATGCCTCTCAGTCTCACACTGCCTAATTACACGTGATGGCAAAGGCATTCGAATGTGTTTGCAAATGAAGCTTACTGGAGAAAATTGCTGAAGTGATACGCCCTCAAAACCCACAGCCGCAAGGAGACAGAATTCGTTTAATTTAGAAAGAGAGAACTCAGCCGTAACACAGAGCAAATGAGATAACTGTAGTAAAACCCAAACATGCTTTACTGATGAAAGGTTTTAATCTACTTTATTTTGCAAAATTCTTTGGAGAAAGCTGGAGGAGATGGTAGCCTCTAGGAGTAGGTTTTCACTGGATTTTTTTCATGCTGATAGGGAAGGTATTGAGGATAGTGCTGGGGGAGAGCAGAGTGACTGGGGTGGGAGTGAGCCTGCAGCTGGGAGGCCTTGGGGCTGGAGTCAATGAGGGTCGGTCTTTCATTTTAAGAAGCAACGAGGCAAGACTTCTGTCTGCATTCAACATCTGTTTTTTTGCCAGTGCTAATCTGTTATATTTGACCTGTTGTGACAGCAAGAGAGTGAATAAAAAGAGAAAAAAATGCACAGGTTTTATTCCTGTGTTTCTCCATTTTGAAAAGAGTAGGGAATATGATAACTTACTCCATGCAAGAGCTGTTGATAAAAGAATGATAAAAGAAGCCATTTATGGCTTCACATGGACATCCATACCATGTTGTCTTGAACCTCACCCTGCCACTTGTCCTTTACAAAATTTACTCCAGTTTAGAAGGTGCCCCAAAGCAATTGCATTAAAGTACTAGTTATGTTTACAACTTAAAGGTTTTAAAGGTGATTTCTTCTTACATATACATTCAAGTGTTTTCATAGCACCTGTACTTCTATAGCATTCAGACACACTTAAAAATTTCATGCCTGTGAGTATTTAAGAACATGGAGTCATTTCTTCCTTCCCATTTTAATCCCTACAGCAAGAAGAGGCATAACTTCATACTAGACTAACACTTTTAAAGCAGACAGCCTTTCTTGTGATGTTACATGGCCTTGACTATTCTTCCTGCTCACTCTCAGTAACGGGAAAATATTTATATCCGAGTATATTTCTAGCTTGTACTAGCTAGACCACTGCAGCATAGGCAATGAAAAGTATTATTAGGTGGAGATGAACAGCTAAAACTGCTGTGTGAATGAGAATTTAAATTAAAATTTGTTTAACAGTATATTTCACAAGAACTAGTGGCCTTAGAGACAGCAAGGTGGATTAGGCTACCTAGAAAAGATAGCCTAATGCTTTCTATTTAAGGCAGCAAAGCAGTGTTTATATTTGACCTGTGCCAAGGTTTCTTACTACCCTCTGCTGGTTGAATCATGGGAAGGCATTTTATATCTGGGTCGAAAGTAAGAATGTTTTGCTTAGGGGGTCTGACCTCTTGAGCCTCCTATAGAGAGAGGAGGCAGATAAAGAAAAACAGGGTTGAAAAGAAACTAGCCTGCTAAAGAGACACTACAGAAAGTGTCTTTTGTAACAGCACAGCAATAATCCAGACAAAGCTAATAGATGTAGTCGTTGTTTCTGGTAGTTCTTCCTTAAAGGATAATGGGATATGGGGGTTTTGAGCTGTCAGGAATTCCTATAGCTTTTGTTGACTGACTGACTTGTGGAAACTATGCTTTACTGCCTGCTAATGACCAGGAATTTGCTTTGTCTTTTGTTGCAGAGTTGCTGCTTGAATCAGTGTTTCTCAGTGTTGATCCTTATATGAGGTATATCTTTTTCTTCTTTTTAAATTGCTGGCTAAGATACATCATTTGGTCTCCTGCTTAAACCTCAAAGGAACATGTACTGGGAGCATCCCCTGTTGCCAGAGTTCCGGATGCCTTTGTCTGCTTTTTATAAAACGTGTGTAAATTACAAGACTCCCAATATAGAGCTGTGCCAGATTTAGCCAGACATTAGGATAATGATGCTGCAGCCCTAGACTTTTCTTGGACTCTGCTGTTTTTCTTTGTCACGTCTCTTCCACTGGAATGCAATGGGCTCAAATAAGACTGGAGCCCTGTTGCAGTAGCTGCTTCACTTATCTTAGCAACCTTGTACTTAAGGACACATATTCTAAGTAGGAAATTGCTGATATGCCCATGTTAATAGGTGGTAGTCCAAGCACAGGGAGACTGGGTAGTTTGAAGAAGTCTGGTGGACTCTAGTGTCAGAGATAGTTCTTTGGAGTCTCAGCCTTCTTGTAGCGGTGGACCATGCTGGGAAGATTAATGCTGTTGTGTCCCCAACACTCTAGCCCAGTGTTCAGTCAAGATGGGATGCTCAAGTAGCTGGCTATCCAGTCATGTCATTACAATGACAAACTCTTTGTGATCTGTCAACATCACTGCTTATGCTCTCTTTCTGGGTCACACAGTAGCTACTGCTTCATAGCATATCTGGAATATCATTAAAGTTGCTTACAGTAAGCCATTTCTCTGCCTGTGTTACAGACCTTACAGTCGAATGGACATGAAGGAAGGGGACATAATGATAGGCACACAGGTTGCCAGGTAAGATCTTCAGTTCTTGTTAGCCATACACATGGCAGATCTTGAAGGAATGTACTGACATTTGAGACATCTGCAGCCTGCATTACATGTTCTGGACATGAGTCTACATACATCTGCAACTGTATTCTTATCTGTAATTGGTTGGAATGTGTTTTTCCTCTAAGAACCTCTTTTGCCTTCTTGGAGAGCATTTAGGCCTCTGATACAATCTATACGTTATTTCTGGTGATAATGTTTTCAAAGGAAATTTTTACAAGCAGAGATATGAAGGACCATTGTATTTGCCATAAGTGTGAACTTCACATTTTAAAATCTGCTGTGCTAGTAATTGCATGCCTGAAACCATGCATGCTATGTACTCCAGCTGAAAATACCTCAGCGTCACCTAAGATACAGCTCTAGACAAAGGATTATCTAACCTTAAATCCATCCTTTCCCAAGCTTGTGGTAATTTAGCTACACAGATGTTTCCCTTTGTCAGCTTGTTCCTGCTGTGCTGCCTCTAATTTACTGCCCAAGAACATCTGTGGCCTTTGACTCTTGTGTTTCTCTGCAGGAACACTGAGGGCTGGGATAAATTAACAACCAAGCCT